GACAGAGGTGATGGGGATGGCGGCTCCTTTGGTTCAGGCGGTGATAATTGTGGTTTGGTGGTGGATTGGTGGTGGTCAGGTGGCGAGTTGGGTTTACGGAGCAGGGGTGCGAGTTCTGGGTCAGCGTACGGCCGGGGTACGCAACGAATTTATGCTTACTTTTCCGCCGTTAATCGGCAGCCGCGAGGACTGCTGCGAGACGAGGCGCTGGGCTGTCGCCGCTGTACAGGCTCGGCAGCGCAGTGGAATGAATCTGCTACACCCGAGACCCGACGTGTTGTGATTTCATGCTGACGGGGTTGGCCGTGAGAACCTAACCCCTGCTCCGATGGGACGTTCGGAACTGGTAGATTTGCCTGACAAGATTGATGTTAGAGGGGCGCAATCGGAGGGGTCATGTGGGTGGGTGTCGCGGGTTTTCGATGGTCGGCGGGCGACGGTTGATCCTGCGACGGGCTCCGGGTGGTCCTTCGACAGGCTCAGGACGAACGGGGGTGGTTGGTGTAGCCATTCGGCGGGATCGGGATGTGTGGGGAGGTTTATTTTGGTGGGCGATCGAAAGTCGTTAATGGGTAAAACCCTGCAATATTGACGAACGGATGCTATCATAGCTGGTGGGGTGAACTGCTTTGAGTGACTACCGAAACAACGATATCCGCAATTTGGCCATCATAGCCCACGTCGATCACGGCAAGACAACGCTGGTTGATGCGTTGTTGAAACAGGGCAAAGTGTTCCGCGACCACCAGCAGGTCGGTGAGTTGATCATGGACACCAACCCGCTGGAGCGGGAGCGGGGCATCACGATCCTGGCCAAAAATGCCTCGGTTTCCTTCAACGGCGTTCGCATCAACATCATCGACACGCCGGGCCATGCTGATTTCAGCGGCGAGGTGGAACGGGTGATGAACATGGCCGACGGCTGCCTGCTGCTAGTGGATGCCGTGGACGGCCCCATGCCCCAGACGACTTACGTGCTGCGCCAGGCGCTGCAACAGAACGTGACCCCCATGGTGGTAATCAACAAGGTTGATCGCCCCGAGGCCAGGATTGCCGAAGTGGTAGGCCTAGTCCAGGATTTGTTCCTGGAACTCGCGACCAAGTCCGAGCAACTCGATTATCCGGTGTTGTACACTTCAGCCCGCGAGGGCTACGCATCCGCCGACCCGGACGTTCGGGGGACGGATATGCAGCCTCTTTTTGAGGCGGTCCTCGATTCGGTGCCAGCGCCTACCGGGGATCCGGATGCTCCGCTGCAAATGCTGGTCGCGGCGCTGGACTACAACAATTACATGGGTCAGGTGGCCGTGGGCCGCATCACCAACGGTACGCTCAAGCTGCGCGACGACGTGGCTTTGATGACCCGAAATGGCGAACCCACCATTCACAACCTGGAACGCATCTGCGTGTTCCGCGGCATGGAACGGGTGGAAGTAGAGGAAGCCTATGCCGGGGACGTGGTGGCGGTTACTGGCCCAGAGGGGGTTTCGATAGGCGACACCATAGCCTGTCGCGAAAACCCGGTGGCCCTGCCGTCTATCGACATTAATGAACCGACCGTGCGGATGACATTCGGCGTCAGCACGTCGCCATTCATGGGCAAGGAAGGTTCGCACTGCACGTCCCGCAATTTGTACGAGCGGCTCATGCGTGAGCTACGAACCAACGTCAGCATGCGGGTCGAAGCCACTCCCAGTCCGGATGTGTTCGTGGTGGCCGGACGGGGAGAGTTGCACCTTTCCATTCTGGTCGAGACCATGCGTCGCGAGCAGTACGAATTCCAGGTGTCCCGTCCTGCGCCGATTACCAAAGTCCTTGACGATAAAATCCACGAGCCATTCGAGATTCTCAATTTGACCACCCGAGAAGAGTACGTGGGGGCGCTGACTGAATACCTGTCCGGGCACCTGGGCCAGATGCGGGATATGCGGTACGACGAGAACGGCTACGTTCACATGGAGTACAAGATACCCACGCGCGGGCTGATTGGGTTCAACGCATTTTTCCTGCGGACAACCCGTGGCGACGGCGTGAAGAACAGCATTTTCACGTCCTATGAACCAATGGAAGGCGAAATAAAATCCCAGCGTAGCGGTGTATTGGTAGCCTCCGAGGGCGGGCCGGCCGTTACCTACGGGCTCCTCAACGCCCAGGGCCGTGGCGACACCTTCATCGATCCTGGCACCATGGTCTACGCAGGAATGATCGTCGGCAGCCAGCGTCGGGACGGCGATATCGAGGTAAACGTCTGCAAGGAAAAGAAGCTGACCAACATGCGCTCGTCAACGGCAGACGTGGCCAAACGGCTGAACGCTACCATCCGGATGAGCCTGGAGGAGGCCCTGGCGTTTATCGACGACGATGAGTTGGTTGAGGTAACGCCTCAGAACCTGCGCCTGCGCAAGATGGAACTGTCCGCCCGGGGCCGCAAACGCCAGCGCCGCGACGGGGCCCACGCCTGAAACCAGGGTGACTGACGCGGGCGTCGCAGCGCGTTCGCCTCGGCGGGCGGGGCGTTGATTTCCGCTACTGGGTTTTGATCCAGTCAGCGACTCGCTCCCCGATGGTTATTGCGGTGGTGTTGGTGTTGGCGCGCACCACGTTCGGCATAACGGATGTGTCTGCGACCCGCAATCCTTCCAGCCCGCGAACCCGGCAAAACTGGTCAACCACTGCCATGGGGTCGGAATCGGGACCCATTTTGCACGTGCCGGCCAGATGCTGTGAAGTGGTGACATTGCGGTTGAGCCAGTCGTCCAACGTAGCGTCGGAGGCCAGATCGTCGTGGGTTGGGGTCAACGGGCCGTCGACGATGTCCTTGAAGGCGTCATGTTCCAGCAATCCGAAGCAGATGCGCACGGCTTCACGCAACCGCTCCCGGTCTGATTGTTCTTCCAGGAACCCGTAATACAGATTGGGCTGGTCGTGAGGGTTTGACGATGCGAGCGTAACCTCCCCCTGGCCGGCGGCCAGCTCCAGGATGCAGGAGAACCGCACGCCCTCGCCTTCCAGCGGGTCGCCTCCCAACGGGAATGAGAACGAGGAAGGCATTATCTGGATGTCGTTGCGCAGGTTTGAGCCGCTCGCCGTGTAGCGTAGCGCGGCCTGAATCCGGGGCGCCTCGGCGTCCTGCGGGAACTCGTCCTTGACGCGCAGCCGTACCGGAGCCATCGGATGGTCGCGGAAATTCTTGCCCACGCCTGGGGAGTCCAAAACGACGGAAATGCCGTGGCTGCGCAGATGGTCGGCCGGGCCCACGCCGGAGAGCATCAGTATCTGTGGCGAAGCGATGGCGCCGCCGCTGAGGACCACCTGATCGGCTTCCACCTGAAAAATCTCGCCGCCACTTTCCACTTCAACGCCCGATACTTTGTTGCCCACGAACAGAATGCGCCGTACCACCACGTTGCCACGCACGGTCAGATTCAACCGGTGCCGGTTGGGGTTGATGTAGGTCAAGCCCGTGCTCATGCGGATGCCGTTGGGGTTGTTCATCGGGATGGGCCCGACGCCGCCGGAATCGGGATGGTTCAAATCCGGGTCTTCCCGGTATCCAGCGTCAATCGCCGATTGATAAAAGGCGTTTTGGAACGGCAACCATTCTGGCTTCTGGAAACGACGCACCGGTATAGGCCCGTCGGTGCCGTGGAAGTCGTCGCGGATGTCGGTATCGGTTTCCAGCTTTCGGAGATAGGGCAGGACTTTGACGTAAGCCCATTCATCGTTGCCCATGGCCGCCCAGGAGTCATAGTCTTCCGGAACTCCGCGCAGGATAACCTGGCCGTTGATGGCGCTAGTGCCCCCGACGACTTTGCCACGCGGCACCGGCATGGGTTCGGTTTGCTCGGGGCGACCCTGTGCCTGGAACGACCAGTTGTGGGGTGCGCCGGGCGTGGATGCCGTGGCGTTGTAACCGAATTTCAGGTCGTCTGGGTAGTTCTCAAAGTCGGGATAGTCGGGGCCCGCTTCCAGCAGCAGCACCGAGCGATCGGGGTCTTCCGAAAGCCGGGCGGCAACGACACAACCCGCCGAACCAGCGCCGATAACGATGACGTCGTATTTCATGCTTGTTTCCTCTCCTTGGTGAGATTGCTAACAGCCGGGGTTTTCACCCTCACCCCTGCCCTCTCCCATCGAGGGAGAGGGGTTAGATTGATGCACTGCTTGCGATGAGGGGCGCCGGCTAGCGAACCGGCGGCCACATTATCCAGCCGCGACGCCCGGTGTTGCGTAGCCGCAGGAGGTGCCCGCCGATGGTGGTAACGTACAGGCTGCTCTGGTCGGCGTCGCCGAAGGCGCAGTTGGTCGGCATATCCACGCCCACCGGCATCGGGTAGGTTTCCAGAATTCTGCCCGCCGGTGTCCAGACGTAAATCATGGGGCCCGGCCCGCTCTCATAGTTGCCTGCGGTGCCGACGATGTTGCCTTCGGAATCGAGGCACATACCGTCAATGCCGCGCTGTGGGCCGCGGTGGTCCTGGCCGAACTGGTGCAGCACGATGTACTGGCCCAACGACCCGTCGGCATTGATGGGATACGAGCGCAGCTCGCGCACACCGCCGGGCTCGGCGTCGGTCTGGATCATGTACAGATGACTGTCGTCCGGCGATATGAGCAATCCGTTGGTGCCGGTGGTGTCGAACGTCATTCGCTGGCAGGTCCAGGAGCCGTCGGGTTGAGGGTCGGCGCGCAGAATGTCCTTGTTCGCGATTACCTGTTGTTCGCTGGGGTCTATGTTGATGGCGTTCCACGGATTGCTGAACCAAATACGTCCCTTCCGATCGATGGCAAGGTCGTTGGGCGTGTTCAATGGTTGGCCATCCAAACTGTCAACGATAGTGGTCGTGCTACCGTCCGGCCCGAAGCGAACGATGGCGCGCCCGCCGGAGCAGCAACCGTACAGGCGGCCATCAGCGTCGAAGGCGAGGCCGTTGGTGTGCTTGGTGTTCTCACGGTAGATGCTGCACTCCCCGGTCTCCGGGTCGAAGGCCATGATCCGGCTGGCCGGAATGTAGGTAAACAGCATCCGCTTGCCATCCCAGGCGGGGCCTTCGGTCAAGCGGCTGAATGGTCCGGCGACGTGTTCCCATTGCAGTGTCATCGTGTTCTCCTTTGTGAATATGTTGGCGGTGTGGGGTCATCACCCTCACCCCAACCCTCTCCCATCAAGGGAGAGGGAGCGAATAAAGGACGGGCTAAAGACGGTAGGCTTTAACCGCCGTGCCCTGGAACATAGCGGCTTTCTCTGCGGGTGAGAAACCGCTTGTAACGTGCTTGAACGCGTTCCACACCGTGGTGTATGCGTAGGACGCCTTGTCCACGGGGAAATTACTTTCGAACATACAGCGTTCCGGCCCGAACTGGTCGATGCAGAAGGTCAGCCAGGGCGCGATGACCTCGGCTACCTCCGCAGATGTCGGCGGAACGGGTTGCAGATTCCAGCCGTGACCGCTGATCAGGTTGCCAAACCCGCCCAGCTTTACGACCACGTTGGGGTGAGCGGCCACGGCGGCGATGCCGACCTGCCAGTCCGCGAACACCTGCTCCCTCTGCGCAGCGTAGGGACCGACACCGAGGGGACGCCCGACGTGGTTCAGGATGATGTTGGCGTCGGGGAAGGCCGCTGCCAGGTCGGCGATTTCACCGAGTTGAGTGTGATATACCAGCGCGTCAAAACTCAGGCCCAGCTTCTGCAGGCAATCAAAGCCGGCGCGGAAACCGGAATCCTGCAGCATTCCCGGAGTGTTGGTACTGCCGGGCGCTACTTCGGGACTGGCGTTCCAGGCGCAGGAGAACCTGATGCCCCGGAACCGGTTGCCGCTGGCGGCGATGTGGGCTTCCAGTACCGGTTGCACGGCTGAGCCCAGCATCAGATTGGCGTTGGCCACGATGCCGGCGGCGACTGCCGTTGGGCCGAATTGCCCGCTGGCGCTCTGGGCGGCGATGCCCTGCACGAATTCGGTTTCGCCGACGGACCGCAACTCTGCAGGCCCCTGAGCCCGGTACATGGAATGGCATTCGATGAAAACCGTCTGGGCAATGTTGTGACCGCCGCCAATGTCTTCGGTAAGCTGGTCGAGGAGATAGCGGTCGCCGGCGCGATCCCAAAAGTGGTGGTGTGGGTCGCAAATGGGCAACCCAGGTTCAATGGCATCTTCCACCACCTGAGCGAGCCATGCTGCGCGTGGACTGGTCATATCTTCCCCTCCAATCTTTTGCATCGTGCCGGTCTGTTGGACCGCGCCCGGTCTGTTGCATTGTGCCGGGGCAAATGTTCCGGTCGCAGTGCCGTCGGCATCGGCCTCCCCTGGCGACCGGCCCAGAACCTAGATGGGCAGCGGCACTTCGGTCAGTTGCTCCGGCAGTTCAACGCCGAAAGCGTTTACGTTGAACGCCAGCATCGCGTAGCAGCCCATGAGGGTGGTCAACTCGGTGGTGCCTGGAACGCCAAATTGGGCCACCACAGCGTCGAAGTTGGCCTGGCTGACGTGCCTGGTTCGGAAGAATTCCTGTCCGTAGCTCACGACTGCGGCTTCCTCCGCCGCCGGGTTTGGCAGCTCTCTTTTGTCGCGGAGGGAATCCACAATCTCGTCGCGCAAACCCGCCTGACGCGCTGGCGGAGCGTGGGCGTTCCAGATGAACTGGCAGTTATTTTCCCGAGCCGCCACCAGCATCGCCAACTCCCGTATGCGGGGTTCCAGCGAAGTGTCGGTTCGCAGGTATAGCGCCAAACCGAGCGCTCGCTCGGCGGCATCAGGAGCGTTGAGCATTACGGAACCGGGGCCGGTGGTTGGTACTCCGCCGCGCTCCGCGACCATCGCGTCGAAAGCCGCCAGCTGATTTTGTGGCACTGATTCTCTGGTTACGATTGGGGTGCGAGCCATGATCCCTCCGTGAGTGTGCGAATGGCCTGGACTGAGTCCGCCGGATTGTCTGCGGAGTCTGCCGACTTTGGCGTTACAAACGCCGGTACGATGCGCCAGTTTAGCATCATCGAACCGCTGGCAGGGCGGCAGACCAATACTCGCAGAGTAAGGTTGAAATCGTAGGGCAGTTTTCTGGATGAGGTCAGGGTGCAAAGCTCGACCGGGCTTGAGCGCCCCACCGGCCGTCGACCAGCGTCATAATCCACAACGACTGGTAGGTTGCGAGGGCGGCGCCGTCGTTATCGTATCGTGTGAACTGGATCAGCACGTGAACCTTTTTCTCTGAACTGTGCAGGATTTCCGTAGAGTCGAGCACGGTGTGATGCCAGTCGGCGCCGGCCCTGGCGTGAAAATCTCGCAGGTAGGTTGCCTCAAGTTCGCTCCGGTCAGCCCAGATAGCCACCCCGCCGGCCGAGATGCGGACGTGGGGAACATGCAACGATTGATACAAAGCTGGGTTATCGCGGGCGTTGAGCGCGGCCATGAACCCCTGAATGGCTGCTACCGCTGCCGCTTCGCTTTCCGGCCACAGACCT